TGATCGTATCAAAGGACCAGGAAGCTGGCTTACCCAAAAATATCTGCAATTATTTGTATTTTGCAAAGCTGGGTGTAGCAAGTGTTTAAAATTATTATTTTTTGTTCATAAACAGCTAGTATATGCATTCATAAAACTAATATTTATTTCTGTTCATGAAATCCAACGTGCATATTTGTTTCTCGAGCAATTATTACTCATAAAGATAACACGTAGGATATTAAAATATGATTATACATCTATGGTAGGTACTAGTTTTATGAACAACACGAGATAGATTTAGAGATGATTAAAGTAAATCGTTAAATCATATTCTTTCTATCTTAGAAACGTTTTGGACATTAATGATACAAAGGTGCAGATATACTTACATCTACGATGTGTTCTAAATGTCCCGAAACATTTTGGATATTAAAAATAAAAATAATCTTACTTTCCAGGTAAAAACAACCAAGGTCATCTGTCATTAATTTTATTTCGGTCATGACGTCTTTTGCACTCCTTACGGAGCCTTAATAAATGTGGGTTCAATCAATAAGCAATGAGCTGCACTATTTATTTCTCTTGGAAGAGCTCGATTGGAGCTAATAATGATAATTTGTCGATTTTGAATGCTATGAAAAAAGTAATCTTTGTTATCTCTACTGTCCATTCAGAGCAGAAAGGTATAGAAACACTGATAATAGATGGTTTGGGAGGCACGATTACGTCTATTATCTTTCGTACACTTTGCGCGTATTTGAATCCCTTTATTTACTTTTGCCAGGTAGTTGTTTAAATGTGTTTGCAGTAATGATATCAAACCTAGTATGTGTTCTTCGAAAGGTTTTTTTTATCACATACTTCCTTTGGTATTACGGTCAGATTACAGCTACTGTCATCACTTGGCGGAGTAATTAGTTGAATATCGCCGCCTACTGTGAGTTTAGTGGCAATCATTTTTTATACCAATCAACTTACTCATTTTTATTTATTGGTAGTAGTTACAGATAATATATATTTGAAATTGGAAATAATGGGTATGACGTAGCGATGTTTTTCTTATTGTAATCGGACTATACCAGAGTCACTTTGTTTATTATTTATTACAGGTTCGTATGTATTAGTTAGTCTCGGTTTTTTACTTATCTTTTAGCAATTGTCCAGAATTCTTACGAAGAGTTTGGTCTCCATTTTCAGCCTGTTCGTTACCTTCCGTAAGAAGTAAATATTAGCTTTTCTTATCTGATGTTAATAAGTCAATTATTAACTCACTGTTGACAATTATATTGGGTAGTTGTTGACAATTCTGTCGGTACTTATTCTTTAGTGTTGTTCCCTAAATTTTTTGTTTTAAAGGAATTAAGTCTTCTACTGCCTTATCTAGTCGTTGTTTATTCTTAAACTGGATGTTTAGGTTAATATTATTTTGTGTTTCCCTATTAAAACGTTCCCATTCTGTTGTGTTATCGGTAAAAGTCGGCTTATGTTCTTTTTTTTTATTATTCTATTAGGTACTCGGCAGAAACAGCTTAGGTTTAATTTTTTTTAATTACAATGAGGTTTCGACATATGTTTCCAAAAATGAAAGATCTGGAGTTTTGGTGAGGTCCGTTGGCCATTGCGTTGATTTGCCAGAAGAATTAAAATTGTATCCCACTTAACTTAATGCTTTTCTAAGTATTCCATCTTTCGTGTTTGTCATTCTTGATCTCCAGTTCACAAGTTTCGAATTGGACTTAATTAGAATCCAAAGAGAATAGCAATGATGGTCGAAAAAGGGCCAAAAGAGAATATAGAAAAATAAATATTTATTTCATCAGTGTACTGGATGCAGTTATAAAAGAAGCAGGCACTAAAAGAAGAACTATTACAAGATTATTCACAAAAAATAGAACTCACAATTTAAAACAAGGTCACTTTACGATGAACAAGTACTTTGCCATATTTACCTACTTGGGCATAGGTACTTACCACAAATATGGATACCTACAACAAAATATCTTTATTAGTTCCCCAAAAGCCTATTCACCTGGATTTTTCATTACATGATTCCTACAAATAATAAATTTTTCATGGTGCCTTCATATTATTTCCCTCCTTTTTATAGGTTAGGGATTTAAACAGTATCGCTATATCATTTTTTTAAATATTGGTGTTATTAATGAAGTTAAACTTTTATTCAAGATCCTAAGGGTTTAAATCATAATTTAAGAAGATTTAAAAATTGGTTTTATCGGGGATCAGATCAACAATGTGTAATAATAATAATAATAATTGTTTCCATGGACGTACTAATAAGTCGAAAGAATGGTATGAATTATAGAATAGAGGTGTTCCATCGTCACCACTGGATTTGGGTCTTTAAATATTGTAATAAACATTGGAAATATTAGAATTGAGGGAAATATTCCTAAAGATACCAACCTATTTTAGGGCTTTGTAAGGTAGAGTACCTAGGTATTTGAATATGAAAACACATAGTAAGTACCTAGGTATATACTCGTAGAAAGGTATGTTACAGATGTTACAATTGTGAAACTTTAAACACCTTTCCCAACAAAATGGTGTCAATTGTATAATCAAATACTAATAACAATTATTTGAAAGCGAGCAATTACGAGCACACAATCTATTAAAAAGGCTTTATAATAGCCATTTAGAGATATCAATTTCAGTTTCTAGGTTATGTAGGTTAATGCACCTAGTTATCGCTCCTTTCATAAATAAATTACAAACTCTCAGTTAATTTCAAATAAAAACAAAATCAGCACGAATCTAACCTAAAAGAAATCGACGTAGCATCATTATATTGACACTATTTCTATCTTTTTAGCAGTTTTGTTCCAAATATTAGGGTAGCAACAGAAAACAGGTAACACAGAAACCAAACAACCGCGTAAATAAATACCTTAATCATTAAGAAATACTCAACGCACTATGACATATACACTCGCACCTTCGATTCGCACAGTACTTTCCCGAAAACGGATCGTCGTAACTCAACAGAAACCAAAAACACCAAAATTTCGGAGAAAACGTCGTTCACATCACCAAAAAAACGCGAAAACACGTTTGCAACGCTCGCTGCGACCACCTTGCACAAATCGACTTCGTTATTCGTTTGTTATTTGAAATTGTGCTATCAACGACAGAAAGGCGAGGAACGGTTAGGAATGGTCGTCGAGTGGTGGGGGCCAACGGTGCAATGTAGTGTGAAGACACAAGACGAGGTAGAAGGCACAGTATATTGTGGTTCAATCGAATGCAGGACCGCAATGAGATATTTTATCTCGGTTCCAATTTTTTAAAACTTTAATTACATTATTAAAGAAAGAAAACTAAGCCTTCACCACATCTTATTATTTAAAAATATTGTAATATACCATGAGACATGAACGGCGGATATAACTATTGAAACTTTACAAAAAAACTTGTAGATGCTTTGAAAACAACTGCATATAACTATTTTGGGTCCGCTCACACTTAAAAAATAGTTTTTTTTACCTTAAAATCATCAAAATGTGTTGTCCAGTTTCGACTATAAAAAAAATATTAATTAAATCATTGACATGGCCCCCTATGATCCCCCCCTCCCTTGAGCCGCCCTTGGATATGACAGTGGCTGTTTAGCAATACTAGGGTCTGGCTGCCAGGTCAACTTGACTCCCGAAGTGAAAACATATTTTTTTAGTAATCATTTCAATTTGAGCTGTATCCAGGCCGTTAGAGTCTATGCCGGTCGGCGTAGCCAGGTATGGGTTAAAATTTTCTGGTGACGGCGAAGCCACGTTCGTTAAAAGTCGGGAGCCAGGTTCACGGGTCGGCCAAACGCTAGTGTTTGGTTTGAAAAAAGTTTACGCAATGGCTCCAGCTAGACCATATGTGTCTAGGCCTTACAGCGTAGGCGTACCTAACCAGTGCGTGAGTAATCACTTAAATTTAAATGGCTCCAGGCCGCACAGGTTAGGTAAATAAGTTAAGATTTTTTTTTTCATTTTATATACTTATCATTTTTTTTTCGAAGCAACGGGTAATGATTCCAGGCCACACAGGTTAGGTAAATTTGTTATAATTTTTGTTTTTCATTTTATATAATTATATTTTTTTGGAAAGCAACCTGTGATGGCTCCAGACCGTACAGATTTTATGTGAAAAAAATGCAGAGTACCCCCCGATGGCTACAGGTGCCGTTTTATACAATTTTTCAGATATCGAAAGTCGCATTTTTTGATTGTCCGAAGCAGGACGCAGGTTAAAATGACGATTGGCGTTTGATGATGTTTGAATTGATCGAACAACACTGTATTTTTTAAATGACAGACGACAGTAGATAAAATGTGCCTCCGATGTCACCAACTGTTTTAAAATTTTGATAAACAAATGCAATGAAATTATAAGCGTTTACGAAAAAAGCTTGCATGGTTTATTGCTCTATGGTTAGTCTAATATTGTTATTTAGCAGTTTTTTACTACAAGAAATCAATCCAAATTATGTAATTGATGTGTTTTTGAGATTGTGATTCGATGACAAATTTAAGGTAAAAAAACTCACTTTTATTTAAAAATTTGTTTTAGAGCGTTTAAAATAGTCTAAAAAAACAACGAAAATTTGGCCCGTTCATGTTTTGGCATATTTTTCCCATTTTGCAGGGCATCCATAAAAATGGATGCAAAAAGAGTCTCAGGAATGGTGGAACATCTATCCAGGGTAGCTATTCTTGAAATTGGAGGATAGAAACCTGGTTTTTCCTCTTTATCTGCATCGTACAAAAATTACATTTCTACTCCCTGAAATTTAGGAATAGATACTGAGGATTGAGGCAGGTCAAAGAAATTAATTCAGGAACCGTCAGTCAAATTAAAGAAAGATCTACTGGACCAAAAACGACAAATTGTTAGGATAACAGTAGGTCTTCTTACCGGACACGGTTGCCTAAGAAGGCACATAAGTGCAAGCACTCTCAACAGAAGAAGCAACATTGTGCATATAATGTGAATAAGAAGATAAAACATTAACTCACGTCCTGTGCCAGTATGAAGGCCTGGTTAGATTGAGGTTTCTAACGCAAAGTGAAGAAAAGCCAGAACCACGTAATGACACGCGGAAGCCACTGTCAAAGCTGCTAAGTCTAATAAAAAAGACCAAGTCAGACGACAAACTCTAAGTAACGGAGTCTCATAGTAGATCTGAAAAGGTCGCAGTGGACAAGGACAAATAATGTCCAACTCGCTTATAATCCATATATCTAAATATATTACTTCAGGAAAAGTTTTCATTTTCTTTCTTTCTTTCTTTCTTTCTTTGGTTCTTTCTTTCTCTCTTTCTTTCTCTTATTTTAATCTGTTTAGAATTATAGCGCGATTGTATATATATTGACGAATCTTATACAATTGTAATTATTGTCTTATGGAAAATAAAGAATTATTATTATTTCTTTCTTTTTTCTTTTTTTCGTTCTTTCTTTCTTTCTTTCTCTCTTTCTTTCTTTCCTTTCTTTTTTTCTCTCTTTCTTTCTTTCTTTCTTTCTTTACTGAACACTGATAATCTTCTGACTTATTATTTTAATTTATAAACCACAAGTCCAATACCGATTACTGCCTCCGATATTCCTTAAGAATCTGTATTGGAAAAAGTGGAGAGCGAAATTGGTTGAAAAGTGTCTGAGAATTAGTTATCTCAGTTGGCCACGTTAAAATGACATATATCCCAGCAATTTTTTTAATGTTGTTTTTTAATCAACTTTTGGTTTGAAAAAATGATCATGTACAAATCGACTTGTAATAGAGCTACAAATGTAGCCTGCGACCGAGAAGGCTCTCTCAGCTCTCTCTGATTGTCAGCAAATAATCATGAATATCAGACAAGTATTCTCGAATTCCTTCACTTTCAAATGCAGTCAAACGAGTCACACGTACAAGCACCACGCGTTTAAAGTCTATGTTTAAAGTACCTACTCATCAAATGGCGCGGTTATTTTACTAAAATATGCAATCACCGGACTTGGTCACCGGATCTGGTATATTGGTATATTGATGCCGGATCCGCTGGATTACCAGATTCGGTTTTCCGGATTGCAATCCCTATCCACAGTAATAAGACATGTTTTGTCAAATCCTCATATTTTGGTCCAAATAAGTTATGCTTAATCTGACTTACCCTATATAAAATAAATGATTAATTCAAGAAAATGATTTACTGAAATTAATCATACAAAAATGTCTGACACCATATATCTTATTGGATTGATTTTATCTTATTTTTCTTTACGTGTAGCAAAAAGAAAAATCTACAAGATTAATTTGCTGAGTATTAATTATTTGTATGAGGCTATTCTCTTCCACACCCCAGATGGAAGAAAAAGATAATGCATGTTTTCTTTTCTCTCGACAACGATTCTGAATAATCCTAATTTGGTAAAAGGCCCTGATGATGTTGCCCAGCGCATCTGTTGGCCACAGTCCTTAACGGATGTTTGATGTGTCTGATGTTTTTTCACCTAATCTTACGGTTTTTCTAACGAGTAAGTGAAACTTAATTTTACCTAAATTGTATTCTCATTGGCTATAATCTTTTTAGAGTCCAGATGAAAGAGCTTTCTCCTATAAACACTGTAAATAAAAAATCTTTCATTTTTCCTACTACCCAGTGTGTACACACTAACACCTCCTGAATTTGGACTGTACAACTTCGCCTAAGATATAAATTGAATTTTGTAAAAATCAATAAACTACATTTCAGCAAAAAAGTAGCCTTAATAAAAAGTTAAAATTACCTAAAAGTAGTACAAGAGATATAAATTAGTGTTAAATTTAGTTCATATATATTGTGTTATAAAATAAATAAGTGTCTAAGTGAAAATAAACTAAACATAAAAATGTTTAAATAAATAACCGTTACAGTAAAATAAATAAAAAGTGAAGAAATATATAAAAACGCCTCAACTTAGACTTCTGCAATAAAACCCGCGTATTTTTACGACCCCCCGTTCTTCAATACACTGTTATTATTAATAGTGACCCCAAGTTCTAATGGTCACAGAGTCAGACTAGCAATTCCATTAAAGCCGGTTCTGCTCCGCAAGATAATCTCTCACTTTTATATACTTATAAAGACCAGAATGGCTGTATGGAGAGCCGTCTGGGTATGCCTTGTTCAATTGTCGATTATTCTTATCTCATAAACCTTTCAACGAAGAATCTATTTACTTTTCGAATCATTCTGGAATACTCGTAATTCTCCAAGGTAATCCGACACGTTTCCAATGTAATAAACCCTGTAATAACACTCGTATAATTATGTTATTAATTATAAGTTCTATTCGAAAAATTTAAATCAACAATTTCATAATATTATGGTTTTTAGTTCTTCTATTATTATCTATTGCAATGTCTGCAGTTCAACTTTTTTTTTATGTTTCCTACAAAAATTTCGTCAAAAACAATTCCTATTCTTCTATTGTTGTACTGATGCATTTTTTACTATATATGTTTTTTCCATATTTAATTTAGTCCAAAACAGTTCCCATGCTACTTATTACTCTTCCTGCCATTTCTATTAAACTTTTCAATATTTTTTAGAGCAGAGAGTTATACACACATTATTTATGTTTTTTTTTATTCTGTGAAGTACCTGCGTTGCGTATTTTTCAATTGCGAAACCGCAAACCTTTGTAAGTGGTACGAAAGGAGCTGGTTAACGAAGTTCAACCAGCATTGTATATAAACTTGTAAGCTTAAAAGGCAAAAGACTGGTAACCGTGATAATTTAAAAAAGTGAGATTCTTTAGTCTCAGCCTCTCTTTTGGAAGTTAACCTCGGAGAGTAGATTGCACTGCCATGGGTTCAGAGAAAATCAGTGACGTGCAGGATATCCAATTTTGGAATATATATAAAATATATAGGAAACAATCAAATATATATATAGAGCAGCACATGGAAATAATAGTTTGTGCAACGAGAGTGGATATGATGGCTATATCGTACGAAGACGAAGTTTAAGCACGACGCCGTAGACAGAATTCTCAATCGTCTAAGAGCGATACGGATAATCCACTCAAGTTGTATAGTATATTTTATCTACGACCCACTATCGAAAATATAAAAATTTTATAAATTATTTTAGGTTAAGATAAAATAACCGATTTAAAATAATTTGACTTTCACTAATTTATATAATAAAATAAATAATTTAATTAGTCTTCAATTCTAGAATTGTACCCGGGACCTCTGCATGACAACTAAATGCCCCAGTCTCTGCTCCACCGCCACACATAACATTTTAGTTTTAGTAATCGTAATTAAATTGATTTCATAGTGTTTTATTAAAATTTATGGTTTATTTGTAAATATAGACGAATTAAAAATAGAAATGCTATTATTTATCGATTCTACAAAAGAATAACTCATTTTAATGTATATTTAATCTTAATGACTAAAAAATTTATATTTTTATATTTAGTTTATCAGTAGTAAAGGAACCATAAATCCATTTAAATACACTGTGAAAAGGGATCACAATTCCACTTAATTATATAGATTAAATTCATGTTAATTTGAAATCGAATTAGTTCAGTTAACGAAAGAAAGCTAAGAGTCTTTGTATTCCTAAGTTGGTACTTATATATTTCTACATTATATCTAGAAGCAATGAAATATTTTATTTATTTTTCTCCGTGTACCTGAATCCTTGTTAATTCACAAGTAGCTGATTAAATCACTTATAAAGTAAGAAATAATCCATCAATGAAGTATTTCTTTTTTATTATCATATTAATATCTAATATAAATGGATGATACAGTCAGTTTAGCATCAAACCGAAACTTTTTAATATAATACTTGAAATTGAATGGAGACATTACTCCATTGCTAAACATAAATGATTCTAAATTGCTTGTAAATCGAATTAATTTATATAATTTTTAATGGAATTCATTTATTTATAATTGGAGTAGGCAAGTACCCAATATATTACGATCGTTGCAATTTGAAACCTATTTTAATGTGCAAATAGCATTTCAAGAACGGGAAACTTTAAAAAACCGGTCCTGATTAAACAAAATAGACAAGCAAAAAATGTTTGTTCCTAATTTTAACCTATAAGTTATTCATCTCACTTACAACTAGTAAAAAAGTTCATATTGACAGTGTTTACCCACTACACAGACTACAAAAACTAAAAATCAATGTAGCTAATACATAATCCAGTATTCATGGCGGCCAACATGAAGGGGGCATTTTACTGTATTGATAGCGGTATATAGACTTTCTGAAAGTTCAGTACAATTTCAAAAAAATGTTTTGTTATAATTTTGTAAAAGAAAATGCTGGAATTGGTTGAAAAATAGGGAATTTTAGGGGTGGATTTCAATTTTAAGTGGGTCATACTGTATATATTGATGTTGATTACGCTGTTAAAACATGACCGTCTGATTTCAGGACACCCTGTATATTGTGCAATAATAATAAAGGCATAAAGTTGCCACTACAACCACTATGATTTAGATTAAACTTAATTCGTTTGAAATCAAGATGCAGTTTTCTTTTTAAAGACTAACAGAAGCACCGAACTTATTCTGATTCATTTTATTTGAACGATATTCGAAATTAAAAAAAAAACAACAAATTTTTAAAATTGTTGAACCTGTCCGGGTAGCCTCTAGACTAAACGAACATATAGCCACTGCATATTTTAAAATTTATTTTCCTGTTAATTTTAATGAAAATTATGTGTATGTTTATTTCCTGGTTTTCTGCCTGTGTTTGGTATTTGCGCTAACAAGAAATGTTATCCATAATTCCATAAAATGAAATAAATAATAAATAAATGTTAGATATTTTATTGCATTAATTAAAATTATAATCTTATTTATTGAGTCGCAAAAGTTAATAAAACCGCAGTAACCTTCATTATGCTTAAGTAGTGACAGGTAATTGTTGGATTTCGATATTTATTTCTTAGTAAATATATCGATTCAATATATAAAAAATTATATTTCCTCCTCATTTTTTTATTTTCAATTGAGAATCATTCACATAACAATGGCGGTGGCAGTGGTTGCCTGTAGGGGCTGTAGTGCTACAGCCCCCACTTCAAGGGGAAACCAATGTATATAAATATAAAATGTATTATTTTATCTACCCATACTATTTTTAATAATAATAAATATATTATCTATTTATAAGTTTCATACGGCTCTTTTTGTTTTACTTGTTCCAATCATAATATGGCAATCCGTTCTTGGTGTTCAATATATTTTACGTTAGCTGACGTTGCTGGATGGGAGGGCTAAAAGATGTAGCGCATTGAATTCACTATTCGGGCGGTCAGATCGGCCTCAGATACAGAATTTTTACATGCAAGAGGTCTACGAAAATGTCCGCTTTGCACCTGTCTAGAAAGTGTGTTAAGTGAGACAGTGAGTTTTTCATTATTTTAGCCAGAGTGTTGCCAATCTACGGATAATTATCCGATTTTCAGAAAATTTTCATAATTTTTCGGATAATTTCAAAATTCTAAAAAATGGACATATATCTTATAATGGTTTAAATTTATGAAATTATAAAATCAAATAAATATATTTTCTATACAAAAAATTGTTTTATGTCCGGAAGTGTTAGACTACTATTAAAGCTATGTGTACATATAATTGCAATTGAAATACAGTTATCCAGGTAATTAATGGCGTAAAATTTTACAAATTAATCTAAAGGAACGTAAAAAAGTTCTGCATCATTAACTAAAAGTGAAATTATTAAAAATTTCATTAATATTGAATTAAACTACTGTTTTATATCGCTCGCTGTCTATGAATTACCTTAGTAAGAAGGAGAAGCAGCAAATGGTAAGGAGTACTGATTTAGAGAAGTTAATTAAATAATGATGATTACTTGATCGCATTGTATATAATTTGTGGTGTATGATCTATTAGTGCGTGAAGGGCGCTGGTTACTTGAAAGAAGGTTTTTCTTAATAAGGAACGATTATTTAATATTTAAGTGACAAATGTATAATGACTGACTTTACGAATAATTTTAATTGACATGACAAAATATAAGAGATAGTAGCAGGTTAGCAGTGGCGACTCGTGCATCGACAAGTAAACTGACAGGTATTCTCTCAAGAAATAGTGTAAATAAAAAAAAATAAAAATAAAAATTGGTGATATTATAAAAATATAAGAATATCAAAATATACATATATCTAAAAAACAAAATCGAGTTATCCCAGCATATTTTTGTTATTTGTCAAATAAAGACAGAAATCTGGTATTTCTCCTGAATTAAATAAGGGAATATAATCAATTAACATTATTTAGATAATGTTGACAGAGCGTTTCACTGTATATTATTCATTATTATCAGAAGTAATTAGAGAAATTAATCATGATAAGATTAGCATTTTAAACCTAAACTCTACACAAATGAAACATTTGACACACCTACCTCGACAATCCATTGTTAGACCCAATAATAACCCTCGTATACAGATGTTTGTCAATTCTCTGTCCCCCAAAAAGCGATAAATCACTTTCGGGATTCCATTCACGTCTTTTTACTCGTCCAACACATGTCAAAAAAGGACAATTTGTCTTTTTTCCTGCATAAGTTTCGAATTATGCGACATGTGGAATGCAACGGGATACCGGGAGGTATAATTATATTCATCGTGAGAATCGGGTGAGTAATTTAAATGAAAATTAAGCGAAAAACGATTTGAGAACGCTGCCAAATTAGCGAAAATTTGATTTAATACCGTATAATACACGTACAATATGAGCTATGCAGAATTCGCTCGGTATATTTATTTTAAAGTCGTTACCAACTCTAGTCAGCCGTAACAGGGATTACCGCTTCGATCGATATATTCACATTTCCTATTAGGAATTAAAGCATGAGATATCTGTAGTGTATGCGACGCTTTAGCTATTCCAGTATTGTCGTATTTGCGATTCAAATTAATTTTCTAGCAACTGTCATCTGTCACCTATAAGTAGGATATTTGTTTGTTTACACTGTGTTTGTTATGGGCACAATTTTTTATTTGAGATTTTTTAACTGTTTTTATATAATATAATCATTATAATAGTGTTTTTGAGTTTCATTTAGTGTTAATTACTGAGACCCTTCCTATGGGGCCTCAGTATTGAATTTGTGCAGACGAAAAAAAATTTCTTAAACTACTTTTTTTCACGTTTCCGATCATTCAGAGTCCGAAAATGCTAAAAAAAATTGTTCGTCTGTGTGTATGTATGCCGACACGATAACTCGAGAACTAAAGTTCTGATTGACTTGCGGTTTTGATTTTCTTAAATAATTGCTTCTAACTTAACTACTTTAATATTAATTTTCTTAAAATTCTCCCATGCATTTCTTATGTGGCTAATTTTACGCATTCCAAGCATTCCTAATTGTAATTTTAAAATTTTTGTTAATACATTTTTTAATATCTCTTACAACAAGGAATATCAAACTTTTCCACAAAATTGGTACACCCTGTATATGTGGGATTGATTGTTTAATTGTTTAATAAAATAACGGTGTTAATTGAGGTTTTAGAGGAAGAGTTGATTACTGGTTGAGTTACCACCTTTTTGACAGCGTTCAGTTGACCTCTGTTAATTTTCGTTCATTCAATTAATTCTGGCGTACCTCAGGACTATCACCTTGGGTCGCTTGTATTTCTAGTAATTATTAACGGAATTAATTTAGTTTGATTAGTGATAAAAGTATTTGTTTATTTGCAGACGAAACCTTCTATTTATATCTAGAAACTAACTTTTCAATCTGAAAATATAAGAAATTTATTAAGAATACATGGTAAATAAAAGTCCTTAAGGTTAAAAAAAAGTATGTTCAACTCTTCTTATATTTAAATAAATGCTAGTTTGACCCACACATTCCCGAAGGCGCATTCCAGAATGGAATTTTTATTATTTATATTAGGTACTTTGTAAATTCACAATATATAAGAAATAAATCGACCAAGAGATACCAACAATAATATTCCATTAAATATTCAAAAACTTACCTCCTATGAGTAATATTCGCTTCAGGAAATGCACTAAGAGGTCGTTTCTTTTGCGTCAATTTTTGAGCGCTTGCATTGGCATTAAGAGATGTGGATGATTTCGTCTAAAACAATATTTGAATTGAGATTAAGCACTTTATTTATTTTAAACTGATTAAATATAACTGGTTGTTTGTAAATATTGTTGATAAGAAGGTAAGAGTGAATGAATGTGTATTAAATACAATTTGTTGAACGTTCTTGAATCAAAATAGCCTGGGCACACTTTCATATAAGAAGAAAATAAGAAGACTTTTTCTCTATCAAGATTTAGTTGCTAAGTAAGAGACAAGTATGGCACAGAAAAACAGATCCAGAGTTATTCTTAAACAAATATCCTTAGTTTTCAAATTATTTGAACCGCTCTCGAATAATACATTAATTATTGCGTTGTAAATTGTTGTTAAGACTGCAATAAATTAAAGGTTCCGAATTCAACCGTTGTATCAGTCAAACATAGAATATGTGTATTTCAATACTCGACCGGACAATATAACCGTTAAAATTGTAATTCCTTCTGTTTGTAGCTGAATTATATATGTGTAGTTCTTTAATTTCAGAAATAGACACCTTGAATTACTCTTTGCTTTTTTCAGAGCTTCATGATAACAGACTCACCATTGGGTTTGTTTTGGTTCAAACAGAACCGTCAATTCCAGTTCTTAAATGCAGTTGTCGAATTCATTTTTCAATAATACGTCGCGATAATAATCAAATTAATGAGCTGAACGAGTGAAATTTACTGATTCTGAATTAGTTCGTGAAAGAACCAAAACAAGCCTATTACAACCACAGTGATAAGGATAATAAAAAAAAAATAAACAAAATTTGGTGTTAAAAATGCAATCAGAAGAATATCTATTATTCATGACTTTATAAAACCTTTCAATATTAAAATACAAGAAAGGGTCCAAAGCTGGGAAGATAAGACGATACAAAACAAATCACACTGGTATAGAAACAATTAGAAAATGCAAAACAGCACAGGAATTAGCATTTACCACGAGAACTCAGCGAAGACAATTAGTCTATAGCTGGGGTCACTGGCAACTCGTTCAGACTGAATTAACAGGGGTAAGATAATCTTTATTATAACAGACAACCAGGCATTTCTTAAAGCACTGCATTGGATAGAAGTAGATTCCAAAATAATATTGAACTGACAGCAGTCTGAAAGAACATAATAAGGTCACTCCTGAATGGGTGCAGAGACATGAGGAAGTGTTGGGAAACGAGAAAGCAGACCTCTTATGCAGGAAGGTAGCTGAGAAAACGGAACAAGTAAATATAAAACATTATAAGACACCTAAATCTCTTAAGTCCCAAAACAACACAGATAAAAATGGCCAAGATGTTGGACAAGAAAGGCATTAGTTAGTGAATGTTAAATATGTTTGAATTCATCTACCTCAGCATCCTCCAAACGTTAGTTTGCGAATTCAAGCAAGTTCTGGGAACCTGAACTTTCAGACATCTAACCAATTTTGTTCCACCAAACAGGCATACATATCCCATTTTTAAGTTCTACATTATTGTATAATTCTTGTATTAAATATTTTTTGTAGGTTAATCTATCACTTTATTTTGAATATTGTTTGTCTGTAAATGTTGTACGATTGTTTTAGTTTTTCGTTATGAACTGTTATTCAATATGTAAAATACATTTTAATAACAACTCAATTTTACCAAAACCAATTACGCACTATATCCGACGATGGATCTCAATGGACCTAACATTGAGCTTAAGAGTTTAACAAAAAACTTACCACTTCTTTTTTCAAGCTACTCCTCGACGGACTTCTAAACCACGACCTCTTTTCCTTCTCCTTATCCTTTTCCTTATCCTTCGTTCTATCTCTGTCTTTATCCTTAAGTTTATCAGAAGATTTAGCGGGCACTTCTAATATCGGCCTGTTCCTTTTTACATCTTGTCTGTTGGTCGATTTCGATTTGGAAGCAGGCGATAGCGCGCCTTGAACTCGTTTTAATGAATCGAAGAAAGTGTTGTTAGAAGCTTGCGATGATGAAGTTCTGGAAAGAAAAAGAAACTCATTAGATAAAATAGCATATATAAATAAATCTCTCGTTTCACTTGATATTCATAATAATAGTTTTTTAATACAAGCAGTAATTGGGAGGTATAAATAACAATCATGGAAAGTAAAATAAAATAAAATCCAATATAGCGTCAGTCACTTATACGATAATATTCGTTAAATCGTTTTCTGGGCATTATAAGTTAATTTTTAGTTAATAGAATAATCAAATCCATAACAATTTAACTATTTTAGTCTCATTGTTTAACCATTTGAGTAAGCAGTTCAATATTTTCCAGTAACTGTATCTGATTTATTTTAAGGACACAAATATTATTATTAATATGTACCTAAAGTTTCTTTTAAATAAAAACTACATTTCCATATAGCCTGGATGTAACACATTCTGTCCATCTTCCAATTGCAGAAAAATGTTTTTATCGAAGAAAATGTATTTAACCTTTTCATTTAGACTCGCAAACTCGGTACAAGTGATTTTTTTTTCTGCAAAACCTGAAAATCCTGTATGTACACACGATTCGCTACCCACCATTCGTTCCATAGACCCATCCCATCTGGGACAATACGTTATTGCATAATTTTTTTTATAACTTCAACGGTGGGCGCATTTTGTTGTCAGATGTTTTCGAAAACAGAAAAAGACAGGTAAAGGACCGGAGTAGGACAATATACAATATATATTACGTCTTTTAAACGACAAAAAAAGGAAAAATAATATTGTTTATTAATGACAATGGATTATAAGAACGTATCGGAATTTTTAATTCTAATTACGTAGAAACAATCAATAACGGTATTTATTTATTTATTTATTTATAAAAGAAAACATTATTTCATCCAAGAAAATTTTGATTAAACAACTATTATTGATGAATATACCCGCGAAAAAGCATTCTGTAGAATAACTACATAATGTTACAGCGTTGCCAAATGTTATACCAGAAAGACCAATATTTTTAAAACTTTTATTTTCGTAATGCATAGATAGTTAAATTGGTTTGTATTTGTGTTCTAGTTGTCTTGTATCTACGATCGCGCCCCTTTACTCGCTTCTCAGTCAAACAGTAGTCGCATTAAAAATATACCCTTTGTGGAACAGAACTAGTCTAAATTTCTGATTAATTGTCGGGAAGCATTATTTCAAATCGTATTTCAAGAAAAATTATAAGTGTAACAAAATAGGGGTAACTTTGATGAAATTTACAAACATCAGCCGATTTTAAGCGCTTGTCATTCCCTTTATTGTCAACCTATCGTCTTAAACAACAAACTATAATGCGCTTTTTAAAAAATTTCATTACGACCATCCGTTTGGCCCACAGGGCTCGTGAAATGAAAGTCGTGCAAAACATAGGGCGTAGCTTTCAACGACAAGAAATGCCTCTCTTCAAGACGCTCTAGAACGATGATACCCAAAGGGGTCTATACCAACCCCCAGGGGTCGACGATGAGCTACAAGGGGTCTATGTGAGCAATAAACTTTGAACTTGCAGAAACTTGCACACATACATTGCTAACTACGCGTGTACGTGAAATAGAAGCGTTTGTCCATCTCAGACATTCGTAAAGACAGCGTAGGAACTAGTAGGAAGACCGAGGGAAGACTGACTTGCACTAACTTGTTTAATTCATCAATAAATAAATAAATAAATAAATAAATAAATAAATAAATAAATAAATAAATAAATAAATAAATAAATAAATAAATAAATAAATAAATAAATAAATAAATAAATAAATAAATAAATAAATAAATAAATAAATAAATAAATAAATAAATAAATAAATAAATAAATAAATAAATAAATAAATAAATAAATAAATAAATAAATAAATAAATAAATAAATAAATAAATAAATAAATAAATAAATAAATAAATAAATAAATAAATAAATAAATAAATAAATAAATAAATAAATAAATAAATAAATAAATAAATAAATAAATAAATAAATAAATAAATAAATAAATAAATAAATAAATAAATAAATAAATAAATAAATAAATAAATAAATAAATAAATAAATAAATAAATAAATAAATAAATAAATAAATAAATAAATAAATAAATAAATAAATAAATAAAACAGTAATATTAGGAACAAACGCGCTCATTTGTTTTCAGAGCGTTGAGAAGGAAACTACTTATTAAGAAAATATTTATAATAGTAAAAACAAGTTGGTATACACAGGAATTAAAGTAAACCAATGTAGTTTTGTTTGGAAGTGTCAAAAGAAAGTAAGTACATATTTTTTGTAATATTTTAGTTTTTTACTGGTAATTAAGTAACTGTCTTGGTATTGTAATCTTTTATATCAGTGTCCTAGTTTGTGTGTTATATTATCTCGAGTAGAAGATTCGTTTTAACAAGTTGAAGTGTGTGTGTCGTACAATCGAGTTTCTTACCAGAAATAAATTAATGAAGCAAAACATTGCGGCGAATTTTTCAAGTTTCTCAATTTTTCATACACAAACTGCCAAAAAGATGACGTTTTAACTTACGTTCAACGTTTAAATACAAATAAGGTTTGAGGAAGTTTTGGTAATGCCACAATGGGGACATTAAAGAAACGGATGTCATATTACAAGAGGAACCGATCTGAATAAGCACTAACGAAGAACTTTAAGATACAGTTTAGAAACGAATATCAGCTATTCTGGCTTCAAAAAGATACACCTCTGTTACTTATCCCGCATTATGGAATATCGCGAGAAAGTTTTAAATTGCCTTTCCGTCTTCATGTCTAGTGATAAAAGGCTCCAGAGTGGTTGCCAATAGGGTTGCCACCTGTCTTTTTTTGAAAAGGTCAGTCCTTTTTTCAAACAAATTGTCCTTGTGACTTTTTAAAGCTTTTTAGAGCACATATCCTTTAAACTACTGATGATTGTGCTAAACTTCAGAAAGACATCGATTTGTTAGATGAATGGTGCTCAGAGAATTAATTACCATTCAATGCCAGTAAGTGTAATGTTATGTCATTTTGTAGAAAAGATCAGGTAATAACAACATATATTTACAAATTACGCAATGTTGTTTTAACACGTCCAGAACTTATACGAGATCTTGGTGTGACCCTAAACTTACTTTTAATGATCACATTGCCAAAATCACTGCTAGTGCTCATCATTTATTAGCTTTTGTAATCCGAAACAGATTTGAAAGATTTTTCTACAATGAATCTACTTTATTCTGCATTTGTATGGTCTAATCTGGAATATAACATTATCTGGAATCCCATTTAAAATGTTCAGATACCTTCAATTGAACGCATACAAAGACGTTTCTACAAAGCTGTCTGTCAAGCTATTGATGGTAACCGAGAGCCATTCCTCAAGAGTATTTTTATAATTGCTTCAATACTCATAGCTTACTGAGAAGACGAATAATGCAATCTGTTCTGTTTTACACAAACTTATCAAAACTGCATTTTTATTAATGATCTATTAAACTTTCGCATTCCAAGAAGTAATTCGCACCTTAATCAGGTATTCTATCAAAATACTACCAGAACCAATATATGTAAGACTTAATGATTCAAAACTATTCTGAGGTTGAATCTCAGATTGACATTTTTAATTGTAGTATAACCGTCATAAGAACTTATTTCCTTAATACGATAATGTGAATTTTTGATTTTTCTTGTTTTTGCAATATTTTTATTTGAAAAATTGTATGTCCTGTTTCTCACCTATTCAGGTATTTAATGTTTAATGTAATAGACTCAATTGAGTGCATACTTTTTCTCTTGTCTTGAGTTTTTTTTAGTGTGTAATCAATTTATGTCTAATACAGGCGCAAAATCAAGTACCCTATGGAATGTTGTCATGGTTTCGTTTGTAGTTGACATCTGTTCAAGTTTTTCTGTCAGTTGCAAAGTAGATACTTGGGAAATTCATTATGAATCGATATACGCCTCGAGAACGTGCCGAAATCGTAAAATTTTTTTATCAAAATAATTCGTCGATTATCAGAATTTTTCCTGGACGCCTTATCTGGAAAAACGCCGATATTGCATATCCGCCTAGGTCTCCCGATTTAACTGTTCCAAACTTTTGGTTATGGAGTTATCTCAAAGATAGGGTATTTGTAAATAATCCTCGAACACTAGGAAGCATTAAAAGACAACATCCGGGAAGAAATTGACAGAATACCACCTGAAATGTTGGAGAAAGTTATGAAAAATGCTTTAAAAAGAGCTCATTATTGCATTAATGCTGGAGGTGACCATTTGGTCGATATTGTTTTTAGTGGTTAACAAAACAAATTTTTAGAGTTTAAATAAATATTTTTCATTTACAATATGAGTGTTTTTTAATTAATCTTACTTTTATGTAAAAAACAAATAGGGGACTTTATTTTGCGTCACCTTGTATATTGTATGATATTTCTGTATACGTTTTATAATATTCAAATATTATTTTCAAAAATTATATATTTAGTTTTGCATCTTATCCTCTAATTGGGGATTACCCTGTTTTATACTGTACAATAAATAATAACTAAAAAGGACCAGGTTTTTATAAGGACTTTTTTATTAGAAGCTCGACTAGAAGGATCGGGGGTTTATTAAAATTACCGTTGAGGACCTTTTTATTCTTTAGAAGATCAGCAAAAATATTTTTATCGAATCCCTGTCGTCACCTTTGTCCTTTATACTCATTTTACAAAAAGGTGGCAACCCTAGTTGCCAATCTTCTAACAAAACAAAAGAAACAAACTGGGCATCATTAATCGAGAATATTTAAGATTAACCCTTACTAAATTGATGCTAAATATTGAAAATGTATTGTCAAAGCACCAGGTTCAACCCTTCCACTTTTTCCCTTTTTTGAAATGAAGAAGTGATCCGAGTTTCGAATCCACTGATGAAGATACAAATTTTTCTTTTTATTTAGACTAGCAGTTTGTGTAGAGTTCTCAAAAAGTCGATTTTTTTTCTAAAAAAAAAAAAAAAAACCTTTAGAAATACAA